ACACTCGTCTAAGGTATATTTAGTTTCTCAGAACTTATATTAATCTAAATTAAAAATAGAGCGAAGAGATTTATTTCATCTCCTTTGCAAGCACAAACATAATTCTTTACATCTGTGCTAAATCTAACTTTCTTGCATCTTACCTATTTTTATTCATTTTCTCAATTTACTAGTTTTAATAGAATACTGCTTGTGTGATTATCAAACAAATTCTAGAGGAGTGCTTCTTTTACTCTTCGCTTAGACGGGTTTGACTCAAATATCTTTCAAACTTTATTAGCAATTCCTGTAGCCCATGATTACTATGTTAAATCTTGTAGTGCGATCGCACAGCACTAGACGGTGCATTGATCAGGAATTCAGTCCCGTTGCAAACCGGCCGCGCCCTCCCTAAATTACCTTTGGACATGTACGCAGGTGCATATACTTTGTTGTTCCTTCCTCCACTAGTTCACAACATTTTCCATTTTCAAGCTATATGCAAGACTCGAAAAGCGAATGTTGGATTTACCGATGAAGATGGAAATCCAACGTATGAGTCTATAGATCCCGAAAATGACTCGTTAATCGACCCTCTCTATTCAAAGGTAAAGTTGTTTTTGCTTCATGTAGGACTCAAAACCATATTTGCTACAGTTAGGTGAAGTGTCCTGTAGTCGTCCAGAGAGGAAATATGACTATCCGGTTTTCTCTGGAAGGAAAACTGCAGTAGCTCCACTGGCTGATGATGGCTTTGTTTACCAGAATGCATCACAAATTTACACCATTTGCGGAAGCGAAGATCCTTACAGGTGACAAAATTTCCATCGATTTTACTTTATCAAGGAGTTAGTTTCCTATTTATATATGCATTAGGCTTTCTAAATAGAGATCAATTACAGTTCAATAACTTCTGAACCTCCACGTCCCAGTGCTTTTGTGGATCGGGAAGGATGTAGCACCAGTAGTCACAATGCAGGGTATGCTAAAATAAGACAGGAAGATTTAAATGCTGCTTGGCGGAGGGAGCGCCTGGAACAGACCGAAATGGAGGTAGACCAGCTTTACTCAAAGGTAAGAAAAGCTCTCAAATGTGCAGCGGAAAACATGCTGCCAAATTGGTTCTCATCTCTACACATCTTGCAGCTTATCTTTCTGTGTTGCGATCAAAACCCTGCTGACTTGCAATCAGCTTTTGTAGATCCGTCGTTCTTCTTTGCTGAATGGTGACGATAGCGCTTCTACTGCGGGACCGTCTCATGTGACTGTAGAAGACAAGATGGGAGAAATTATTGTTCCTGTGATCTCACCTCACTCTATAAAGGTATCGTTCATGACTGAAACTTAATTTGATAGATGTTGTTTTGGTAACATTTGCTGGAATTATTTGCTTTTCTTTGCTAAAGATTAAGAAGGTAGAAGAGGTGTCAGACAGCTCTTCGAAGACCTATTATCTATTCTAGCGTTTCTTTTTACTTTTCTCACTGCTAGTCAAGTGGTATCCGAACCATTAAGTTTTTTGTCCATAAAGCTGGTCATACCTTTAGCTGGATTCGCTAGTTGATTCTTCGTGAAAATTTGGTTTTGCCCTCAGAAACTGTCTTTGGCAACTTCAAAAACTGTATTTTTGGCACAAAGTAGAAACATTTTTCATCACCTCTATTGATGTGTAAAATAAGTTAAACTTCAGAACGTCGATGCAGAATCTCTGTCAAGTCGTGAACCATCCTATAGATACATCACTGTACGTGAGAACGCAGACGTGGTTCGCGAGAGGTTGCGGCTCCAAGGACAACTTGCGCCACCAGCTAGAGAGCACTATTATTCTGTTATTGGAAACGAATATGAGACTGTATGTTTACCATTCACTCAGAGTTGTAGCAGCTGTCATCTTTACCCGAATTTCACATATAAAAATTCAACATTAAGGTTGGTGATGCACCAAGCACTAGTTCGTATAGTGCGGTTGTCATGCCAGGAGCGCATGGTAAGTGCCAGTAGCCTCTCACCTCTTTCACCAAAGTATCTAATCAGAACTCATTTATCTTTAAAGATATGCTAAACGTCACTACCACATTCTCTGAATTTGCACCGCCACCGCCAACGTCACCAATTCCTGACAGAATATCTTGTGAAATAGAATCTCCTAGTAATGTGCAGCAACCATGTTCGAGTAGAAGTCATGAAGCAGCACCAGTGTATTCCGTTGTGTCTAAACCAAGGAATAGCTCTCTGATTGTGGATGTCCACACTGGCAAT